CTGTTCTGAATAACTTGTATAATATTATTAAAATTGTTGCATTATCCTATTTTTTCTTGTTTGTCTTTTAATTTACTTTATCTTTTTATTCTGTATTTTAATTACTCTTTACAAAATGTTTGAACTTTATAATTTTTTGTATAAAGCTTGCTGAAGATAGAATATGTATATTCCAAAACTTTCAAGAATTAAATGCTTGTTACTGCACACACACACGTCAAATGTTTGTTATTGCTGTCGTCATTCTACTGTTCATCATTAAACTTCGATTCCCATCGAATGAATCTGACATTTGTTCTTATTAAAAAACTAAAACAAAAAATGCCTTAGTATCAAAAAATAGTAAAAATTATGCACAACTGAAAACTCATTGTCAATGAACACTATACATCATGTGTATTAATTATAAAAAAAGAAACCTAATGTTGTATTGTTTAAATTATAAAATTTAAGTAAACTAATAGGAAATTAGAACTTTTTTTCATAGTTGCATGTGTTTGAACTGATTAGAAAATTAGTTTTTCATATCATTCACATACTAAAGTAATTAAAAATTAAGATTATGCTTTATTGGAAATCCTCTTTTTGCTTCTTTTGTCATTTCCTTCAAAGGTAACAAAAAAAAGAGGGTGATAATGTACCTAAATTGTACTAATCTCTATAAATGCTACACTATTTATTTCTATGGTGGTGAAATATTTTACTTTCCAAATAATGAGTTACCATATGTCGTATTAGCTCTTAGTACTAGTACTAGTTCAAGTACTAAATTTAAATGTCAGTTTCTAAGAATAAAAAAGTTTCATTATACAGTTACTCAGGTAATAATCTATCATTTCAGTATTGCTCAAATTTAATTTCTGTAACAAACATGTCATTTCAATAACAGTTTTTATTATAGATGCATGACCAAAATGATATAATTAACTAAATTTCATGATGCTATTTATAAAGTGGGCCTAGGCATATGATATTTTGAGGTTAACTTGTGCTAATCTATTTACACAGTTTAAACTAGTTTTGCCAAATCATGAATCAATTTAATATGGTAGCCATTACCTCAATGATAGATGAAAAAAACAAAAACTAACCCTACAAAATCAGTTATTAAATACCAAATTCTACAACAGCTAACAAATGCACTAGCACTGACAGCCTTCCTTCTTCATGCCAACCATGTCATGACTAAAAAACATCATAATTCTCATTACTGCTACCTCATAACAGTTGCACCTAATTTCACAAAAGTTAGGAAAAGGTGTAAACAACTTTTTGCAGCATGCCTAAACATTTTTTTACTACTTTACAACATGCAGACTTAGGACTGATGACAGTTACAAAAATGATGTCTTGTCACCTTAGTGGGACAGAAAAGAACATGAAAATGTATATTTAAAGTGAATTTTTAGTAGCACATAATAAAATCAATCAATCTAAATAACTTGACACCAATTTATGAAGAAAACATGAAATAAAGAAGTTAAAGGTTGAGAACACATTTTGTCTTGTAAGGTGGTATAACAAAAGTTAACATTTTCCTATACCAAAAGTGTATTTCTGATAATATTTACCTCCTCTCACACTATAGCTATAGGTTTATGCTGATGAAAGTCTCCTCTCTGCCTATCCATCCAAGCATTGGTATGAATCATACCCCACTTGCTTCAGCCTTTATACCCCACTATATTGCCCAAACAAGTTAAATCTTGTGATTCTCTCCATCTACGTCAATGCACCCCCTATCCCAGATCCGTATATAAGCTCCCCATTATTATTTCCCATACACTTTTTCATTAGCAGACCCAAAATTGGCCATTTCGTGGGTAGGAAGGGTGGGAGAGGAGGTAAGTATTATCAGAAACACATTTTCGGTATAGGAAAATGTTAACTTCCATAACACACTTCCTCCATTCACACTATAGCTAGAATCCCACATAGAAAAAATGGAAGGGCTGGTGAGGGCAAGATCAACATAGAAATCATCTGCCTAGAAATGATGTGTGCAAAAATGAGATATAGTAACAGCATGCTAGTGGGGTCCACACTACTTCTGAAACAGGTATGCTCTTTGCCTGGACATGAAATCTAATTCCTGGGCAGTAAAGGCTGATTGGCCACAGAAGCAAAACCCTAACATTGTTAGAAAAACATTAATTCGTCCAGGCCCCATCCAGGCAAACGAGGTCCTATGTTTCATCTTTGGAATTATCGGGCTATGGACCCAAGTCTAGATCGATGGCATAGTGGCCAGGGCATGAGGACCGCTTTTTATTTTGTCTTGTTTAGTAATGTAGTATTATTGGAACCCAACCTAAAAGTTACAG